TCTTCTCCTTCTCCTTCTTCTCCTTCTCCTTCTCCTTCTCCTTCTCCTTCTCCTTCTCCTTCTCCTTCTCCTTCTCCTTCTCCTTCTCCTTCTCCTTCTTCTTCTTCTCCTTCTTCTTCTTCTTCTTCTTCTTCTTCTTCTTCTTCTTCTTCTCCTTCTTCTTCTTCTTCTTCTCCTTCTTCTCCTTCTTCTTCTTCTTCTTCTTCTTCTTCTTCTTCTTCTTCTTCTTCTTCTTCTTCTTCTCCCCCTTTCATCTATCTCCTGTATCTCTCTCTCTCTCTCTCTCTCTCTCTCTCTCTCTCTCTCTCTCTCTCTCTCTCTCTCTCTCTGCAAAATCATTAAGTAGGAAAAGTCAGTCTCCAAGATGACAACCTCAACAGACAAATTTGCTACTCCCTGGCTGCCTAGTCTTTTCACATAGAGTCTAACCACAGAGTCCCATGGGAACTTACTTATCCTTGTTCTCTGAGCCTTTCCTCTTTCCTCTGTCTCCATCAGGTGATCTGTATGACCTCTGAGGTCACTGCCAACTCAGAATTTATGATTCCAGGATGATGTTTATCCTCCACTAGAATGGAAGCTCTTTGAGGATAGGAGAGGATTGGTCTTTGTTTTTATATCCCCAGCACCAGATTCAGTGCCTGGAACATAACAGGTTCTGTAAAAATGCTTGTTGATTGATTGACTAGGCAACTCCCTACTTTTTTTCTTCTTCTTCTTCTTTTTTTTTGGTTGGACAATGGGGGTTAAGTGACTTGCCCAGGGTCACACAGCTAGTAAGTGTTATGTGTGAGGCCAGATTTGAACTCAGGTCTTCCTAAATCCAGGGCCTGTGCTCTATCCACTGTGCCACCTAGCTGCCCCTGTAACTCTCTAAAACTATCAGTTACAGAAGAGCAACAGATGGATATTGCTGGAGGGAGCTTCCTCACCATGAATTTTTCATGTCCGTGAAATCACAGATCCAGACAAAATTTAAAAAAAATCACACTTTGTTCCAAAGGGGAGCTTGGTGACAAAGACTTCCCTTTAAAAAATTACATGTTGTGTAATGGACATCTTTTCCTCTAGTTCACTGATTAGGAATGTGAGACATTGGAAATTTTGCTGAAATTGGAGTTGAAATCCAAAGCTTCAAATTTCAGAGTCCAAACTTTGGCTCTGCCATTTATTCCCTGGGCAGGTCACTTAATTCCTCTGGGACTCAGTTTCCTCCTCTGTCAAATGAGGGGGTTGGATAAGAGGTCATCTAAGGTATCATTCAATTCTAGCTTTATGATCTTATGGATGGCTCTGGTGAGGAATTCTGGTAGCGACTTGGAGGGCCAGATGGAAGTCAGTGGCCTTAACTTTCAAACTCTGTCTTAGCCTTTTATTCTCAGCACACGTGGCCTCCTTGACATTTATCCTATTAAGTTGGTTGGATTAGTCTTACAATTTTTTTTTAAGGACAAACTTTGTCTTTTCCATTGGCCATTTTTTAGGTTCCTGCCCTGTTTCCAAAGCTTAGGTAAAAAGCATTCTATCCATTTTTAGTACTCATTCCCTAGAGAAGAGTGGCTTCCTAGACTTAAGAGATATTCCACTTAGGAAAGTGTTTTGAGGAAAATAACCTGGGGAACAGAGTACAAGTTGTCTGGAGGCCTAGATCTGATTGCCCTTCCAGAGACCTTTTAGAATTCTGAGAAGAGTAACTGAATCCAGGCCCAGCTGCTTCTTGTGACCCTGCCACAACAACATTCCACTCTAAGGCCTCCCCTCTCCAAGGGGCCCGATCTTTCCTAGAACTGCCACCTGTCCTCTTCCCAGCTGCTAGATGGAGCCTACCCTGTTCCCCTGACCAGTCCCTGGATGGGCTTGGTCTTCCAAATGCCAGTCCCTATAGATGAAGAACCCCACCCCTCCTCCAGTCCAGGCCCCAGGAGTTGCCTGTTAATCTCCAGGAAAAACAAGACACCCCTGAGCCTCTTCACCCCAAAGGTCCCTCTAGTTTTGCTTCCCCACCCAGCTGTTTGAAAACAATACTGGGTTGTGAAAAAAGAACCTGAATATTTGAAATGGCTATAGAGGCTAATGCCAAATTCTAATGGAAAGTATCTTTGGGGGCGAAACTTCTTCTTTCCCCCTCTTCTAAGTTCTTTAAGCATTGAATATCACTAGCTAAATTAGTTGTAGCATCTGCTCTTGAATCCTGGGCCAAAAGTTCACATTTTGAAAATGCATTTTCAATCTAGACCTAGGTCAGGGTCAGCATCTTCCCCCAGCCTCTTGAAAGTCACTTGTGGACAGCCCTCCACTATCGATCAATGAACATTTATTAAACACCTTCTGTGTTTCAGACACTGTGCTAAGTGCTGGAATAACAGCCAGAAAATGCAAGTAGGAATAGAGAAATGAAGGGAAAAACAATGCCTCTGTTCTGCCATTTTCTCCTCCCTCTTTCCCTCTACTTCCTTTTCTCCTGTTTCCCTCAGCTTCCCTTCCCTTCCCTCCCCTCCCCCTCCCCTCCCCTCCTCTCCCCTCCCCTCCCTTCCCCCCTTTCCCTCCCCTCCCCTTCCCTTCCCTTCCCTTAGTGTTGAAGCCAAGAAGTTAAAGCCATGATTGTCTTTGCTTTTCCAGTGGTATAGGGGTGGGCTGAAAGTTGATCCTGGTCTTGGCAAATGTGGTGACCCTGTGAAAAACCTAAGATGGCAGAGGCTAAATTTGTCTCCTTGTAAATTCATTCTTTGTGTTCACATCCCTAGTGCCTAGCACAGTGCTTGGGCACATAGCAGCTGCTCCATAAATACTTATTGAATGATTCATGTCAAAATTGGGGGATAAGGAAGGCTCTCCACCAGTTCCCTGCAGACATGTCCATGTGATAGAGTGAATGCTCTGTTGCTTAGTAAAATGTTACTTAGTCCAAATCCAAGCTCCTGTTTCACTTTCTTCTACATTCCTTAAGATGATTTGCCTACATGATGTTTCTTCTCTTTTGGCCCTCAGTTCTTTCTTAGGGAATGATCATACAAGAAGACTCAAAGAATGATAGCATTGGAAGGGACTTTAGGCATCATTTTGTCTTGAGATCACAGCATTCTGAGTGGGAAGGGACTTTAGAGGACATCTAGCCCAACCCTTTTATTTTACAGATGAGGAAACTGATCCCCAGAGAGGATCATACGGTTTTAGATTTAGAACTGGAGAGAACCTTAGAGAACATCTAGTCCTATTTATTCCATTTTACAGATGAAGAAACTGACATCAGTTTCCACCCGATGCTCCTTGTTCTGTCCTCTGAAGCCAAATGAAACCAGTCTAAGCTCTCTTTCCCAGACAGCCTGTTACCATTAAGCAATTTGCCCAAAGCCACCTAGAAAGTAATCACTGGCAGAATTTGAACTCAGTTCCTCTGACTCCAAAGTCATCCCAGTTTGCATATAAGGACCAGAACTGGGAATTTGAGCTTTTCTACCCCAGCTCTAAAGCCAGTACTTTGTTCTTAGATGTCTAAAAGTAATGGTCCTGGAATCAGAGAATCAGGTTTGAATCATGACAGCCAACACTGGGTTGGGTGCCTAGAGTTAGTCATTTCATTTCTCCAATCCTCAATTTTCTCATCTTTACAATGGAGCTAGCAATAGATAAGTAGATTTTGGAACTTCTGGCTGTTATGGAGAGGTGAGTTTTCTCTCCTCCTCCCTCCCTCCTCCTGCCCTCCTCCCTTCCCCCATTACTGGTGTGTCTGTTGTTTTCATGGGCAGAATTACACAACCTCCCTGAGAGGCTCAGCTCAGCTGAACGTTGGCAGCTGAATATTCAAGAATAATAGACTGCTACTGGCTTTCTCCAGAAAGAACCCATTTGATCTGAAAGGGCTGCCCTCCCAGGTGCAGTTGAGCAAACTGTGAGTTTGCAACACGGTTTGAGGCACAAAGTTCACCACCAACGTAAAGAGACAGGCAACATACTTCTGCTTTTTAAATGTCAGCTAAACGGGCAGGGCCACGCAATGTAAACAAGGGTGAAGCAACAGGCTGGAGAGGAAGTCGTTGGGTTGGCAACTGATGAACGGATGTCCATTGCTGCATCTTTAGGAGTAGGATGCAACTGTGGCTTTGATACAGTTGTTTTTAGGGGGGAAAGTGGCCGACTATGTGATAGCCACATAGAACTGTGAGGGGCAGATTCATTTATTTCACAGTCTCAGAGTTGTGAGGAACTCCAAAGGTCTTCTAGTCCAATTGGTATTTCCAATAAATTACAATTATTATTATTATTATATATAATATTATATTATATTATATAATTATTAGATTGTCAGCTCCTTGAGGGCAGGAGCTGTCTTTTGCCTCTTTGTATCCCTAATGCTTAGGGCAGTGCCTGGCACATAGTAGGGGAGTAATAAATGTTTATTAGTTGACTGATTCTCAGAAACTTCCTTCTTTGTCTGAAGACTTCCAGTGAGGAAGACAGAGTTCACTACCTCTCAGAGCAGCACTTCTGAACAGTTCTAATTGTTAGAAGGTTTTTTCCTTAAATTAAGACTCATATTGTCTTTTTTTAAAACTTTTTCTCATTGCTTCTTATTCTGTCCTGTGAGGGCAAGCAGAATGAGCCTAATCTTTCTTTCCCAGGAGAGTCCTTCCTATGCTTTCACCCTTGTATCACTTTTTCCCATCAAGGTTTTCTTTCTGAACTAAATATTCTCACTACTTTCACCCCTGGCAGTGGTCCCTAGCCTCTCTTAATTCCAGTACCTTCCCTTTTAAAATTATTTTCTATTTATACTATACATAGCTTGACATACATATATATATAATGTACATATATATAAAATGTATGTATATGTGTGTGTGCATATATGTGCATATATATACATATATATGTGTGTGTGTATTTGCATGTTGTTCCTCTATTAGATTGTAAGTTCCTTGAGGGCAGGAACTCTCTTTTGCCTCTTTTTTGTATATTATTATTAACCCAGTGTCCAGCACATAGCACATGCTTAATATTTATTGAATGAATGAATACATATTTGACTACCTCTGCTACTCGAATGCTGGGATAGCATAGGTAAATAAAATTCCTGAATTAATACCAAACTTCTTTTGAATCATTTCCTTTCACTTTCCATCTTGCTCCACAAAACTTTTACTAGAGGTGCCAATGAGTCACTAAATCAAGTCCTTGAGCCCTGACCTTGTTTTTCTCTACACTTCCTTGAAGCCAACAAGAAAAGAACATGACATAATTGGAAAGACCTGGAGACAGGAGAGGTGAATCTGAATCCTGTCTCAGATATTTACCAAGAGTTTGGGCATGAGCAAGGAATTTTAGTATAGCCTCAGTTTCCTCATCTGTAATGTGGACACCATAATATTCATGCTCCTGATCTCACAGGATTCTTATGAGGAAGATACTTGGCAAACATCACAGATATATAGAAACCTGAGTTATCATTGTAAAATTGTATAAAAGGTAAGGAAAGTGAAAGCAGGACTGGAGGAAAAAAAAGCATAAATGAAATCAGTGGTCTACTGAGTTGGCCCCAGGATAGGGAAAACTAATATTTACTTGTATAGGCTTCTTAACTACACCAGGTTCAGCTTGGTGATTTGAAGTGATCCCGATTTCAGTTTTGTTTTTGAAATCTAATGGGGAAAAAAAATTAAATAAGACATGAAGCAACATCAATTATAAGGAAATGAAGCAATTAAAAGAAATTGTTGGAACCCATAGAGAAAGGGTTGGAAATCCCCTATATCTTCAGGGTAGTTATATTACAATTCCCCTTCAATCCTTCTGGTTTCTCACCATATCAGGAAGGCATAGTCATTTTGCATTCACAGTGTGAGTGATGGGTGCTTAGTATGCACTATAATCTACTTATTTAAAAACTCTTGTGTAAGCTCTGCATTGCTCCTCAAGGTACAGACATGGAGTTCAGGATGCTATACTTGCCATCCAAACATTTGTCTTCTGTCTACCACAACCTTACCCTTGCTACTGTTATCCACATCAGTTCCAATAGCTCATTAACCCCTCTCCCATAGCTTTGATAGGTCTTGTGACTCTTAATTATTTAAAAATGTATTTATTTCTTTTACTTCTTATGTCTCAGTCATTTCCTTACATCTACCTCCCCCTCCCTGACTCCTCACTCTTGATGTCTACCTTCAAAATCTTCTATACTGTGGATCTTGTTTATCCAATTTGGGTCCTTGCCTAATGATGTTACCTAATAAAGATTCATGGGAAATACAGTGAGAACTATGACCCAGTGAATTTCCTTCAGTAAGCAAAGCCTTCTTTGCCCCAAGCATTTGGGAAATGGATTCCGTGGTTATATTCTATACACTTGTATGTTTGCAGTCATGAGCATCCCTCATTTTATGATACAAATTGAACTCCATACTGGCTAGCCCTGCTGCTTTGCATCTGTAGTTATGCTATGGCAGAGGGACTTCACACCTTAGGAGACTTCTTGTACCTTTATTTTGATTGTGGCTGGATTCCAGAGTCAGAATCAGTGAAGGGCTTGGAACGGGTAGATTCCACTGTGAAGAATGGAACAGAGAACTGTTGGAGTGTGAACACACAGCATTTGTGCTTTTTGGCTGATATTCATACTTTTTTTCTTTCTTGGCTTTCTTTCAAACGGAATATAGATTGCTTCTCTCTGAACAAACAACTGTGTTTGGACTTGATAGAAAATTAACATAATTTTGAAGGATCCATGATTCCATCAACATGGGGAACTCTACTGTGGGAACTCTTTCCACCAAGAAGATTGAAAACCAATCCATCACTAAGCAGATCATCCCTAAAGAGTTGCCCAAGGCACACAGTGTAAATAACTTTTCAAGGGCAATCAATGTCAGAAGTGGGATTCAGACCCAATTCTTCCTCACCTAGCACCCTATCCACCACTATGCCAAGAGTCTTCACAGGAAATTAACAAAAGAAGGAAGAAAAACAAAAGTAGACAACTCTAAAGGCTTTCTAAAACTTTGGTTGGTAAGGCTGCCATGCTGAGTCTATATGACAAACCCAGCTATGGAAATTCTACTCTAATGGTCCTTGGGAGTTTCCTTGCTATTTCTAGTCCAAAGGAATTTTTCTTTTGTGTTTAGCTGTTACATCAATGTGGACTCTATGGTTCCCTGCAATCTCTTCCCTGAAAAGTTCTGAGTTCCATCCTCATGTTGACATCTAAGACATTGGCTGATTAGAGAGTGAAGCCCATGTGACTTAATCCATTAAGGTCAGAGTGAAGGGAGATTAAGACATGGGACAAGAATACTTCTGTGGAATAGTTGGCGTGGTCCTGCTGGAACATCTCAAATCAGTGAGATAGGGTTTCTAGGAAGACAGCTGGCTTGGCCTGGCCTGGCCTTCAGCTGGACTTGAGTGTCTTACCTTGTCCTGGGTTAACTATTTAGCTACCACCACTTTTATATTACCTTCTTCAGTTTTGTTTTCATTTTATTGAGCAAAAAATTTACTATGCAAGCAATCAATAAATCTTTATTAAGCACCTAACGTGTGTACTATGCACTGGGGATATAAACACAAAACATGAAATGATTACTACTCTCAAGCAGTTTATTCAAACAGAGGAGACAAAAAGTATTCACGCAGACACACATATGAGCAGATATGTGCTTATAGTTTTAATGGAAACATTAAATATAATCAGATAAATGCTAATAAATTTAAATGTATTTATTCTGTGTGTATATATGTACATATACACACAGAATAAATATAAAGTGAATAATACAAAGTAGTTAAAATAATTAAGGAAGTAGCGAGAGCACTTACATTTAGGGAGATCAGGAAAGCATTAATGTAGATGGTGGTGCTTGAACTGCAACTTCAAGGAAGAGAGAGATTCTACAACATGGAGATAAAGAAGGAGTGAGTTCCAGGCATGGGTTATGGTCAGTGCAAAGCATGGAGATGAAAGATGTAGATCTAGATGGAATAGGTAGCAACTAAAGTTTATTTACTAGATGACAGAGTCAAATTAGGGATTTCCTATGTACTGAAGAGAAATCAAGAAGAGACATGATATATGTCTCAGAAGCATCATTTAATTTTTATCACCTGAAGGAATTCCAATACATCACAGCTTCTTCCAGTTGATTTCTCCCTTACAATGAAAAAGTTTTTATCATGTGATTCCTAATTTTGTATATCATCTCCACTCAAAAGAAACAGCTAGTTTTGATTCTTCTTAGAGATGCTGCTGAGGGCATAGAAGTCTGTGCTGGCATTATCTCTATATCCTATGGCTTTCTGCTCCCTAATATCTCTAATTTCCATAGAGAAGGCCATTTCACCATCATGTGACGATCATCTCTAAATATGGAGAAAACAATGAGAGTTCATGGATTCATGGTTTAGGGGTTCATTATCAAATCTTTTTACTGCTGGTACTATTTTGAATTGGGATACCAATTCTAGGAATCAAATTCTTATTTCATGTCTCATGACTAAGTCTTTGCATTTAGTAGCTGGTCCCAAAATTGTTCTCCCATACTTGGGAACCTACTTTAGTTCCCAATAAAATCAGTCAATCACAAAATTTTTACAGAATTTGAGAACTGAAAAGATATCTCACCAGCAATTAAGGCTAACTTATGTGCAAAAGGAATCCCCGTTCTACCCAACAAGTGATCATACAATCTCTTCTTGAAGTCTTACAAAGAAGGGGACCCCACTACCTCTAGAGGCAGGTCATTTCACTTTTAAACAGTTCAAATTTTTAGGAAGTTTTTGCACATATCAATTTTAGATTGACACCTGATTTCTTATCTCTTTCATAATAGCCATCTGTAAGCTAACCATGAACCATCTGCTGGTACAGCTGGTACTAACCACCTGCTTGTCTATACTTCCTCATCGTTGTGTTAAGTCCTTTCCTGTCCAGCTAGTTCATCTAATCTCTGGGTCCTGGCCATGCTGAATCAGGTCCATCCTCACATTGTTTTGAACTTTGGTTCTAAAACATGGCATTACAGAAAATCTTGAAGGTTAAGAAGATGGAACTTGAGGGGCGTAGGACCCAAAGAGTATAGAAGGCCAATTCTATTCATTCACATGTTTTCCAGACCATTGCTATGTTTATTAAATAGCCACCTACTTGAAACCTCATTGTTCATTAAAACACTGCTGTGTTTTAAGGAAAACACTCTCTCCCAAAACCACTGATGAATTGTAATTTTCTCTACCATAGGAAAGAATTGTTCAGCCATATTTAAGTCATGTCCAACTCTTTGTGATCCCACTTGGGGTTTTCTTGGCAGAGATACTGGAGTAGTTTGCCATTTCCTTCTCCAGCTCATTTTATGGATGAGGAAACTGAAGGAGACAGGGTTAGGTGACTTGCCCAGCATCACACAGCTAGTAAGTAGCTGAGGCTGGATTTGAACTCATGAAGATGAGTCTTCCTGACTCCAGGCTAGGCACTCTATCTACTATGGCGCCACTTAGCTGCCCATAGGAAAGAGACCAACTTGCTATTTAACTTTCAAATTCTAGGCAGGTCATTTTTTTCCCCCTGGTTTTAATTCTTCATTTTTAATAAGCAGTCCTCTGAGTTTTGGGGGATACACATGTTGCATTCCCTGACATTCTTAGCTACTCACAAGGATACTTTGTGATAAGGATCATAGGTTTAGGGCTGGAAGGGACCATAAAAGCCATATAATCCAACCCCTAATTTACATATGAGTAAACTGAGGCCCAAATAGGCTAAGTGACTCACCCAGGTTCACTTAGCTAGTAAGGTTATGAGGCAAGGTTTTCCTAGGTCTTCCTAATTCAAGTCCAAGTGCCCTAATCCCTGTGCAAGTCAATTCAAGCAGCATTTATGGGACACTCTCTTAGATGCTAGGGATACAGAGACAAAAACCAAAACAAAACAGTCTTTGCCTTCAGAGGGCTTACCTTCTCCCAGAAAAGCCAGAACTGCCCATAAAGGAAACTAGTAGTATGCTACTATTTCTTTATTCTTTTCAATCTATACTTCCCACACTTTTTTGGGTGCCCTGCCCAGCCCTAGAAATCATGGCCACAGTCCCATTTGGTCTACCTTTGCCTTGTTTCCATTAAAACTAGGCTAAATCTGTTGATTATTTTCTTCAGCTGGTGATTGCCTGTCACAGGGTTTAAGTGTGACAGGTAGACCATAGCTAGGGAACGCAGAATTCTCTTTAGTGACATCTATACCTGTTGTGTCTTGACCCTCCTCCCTGCCCTCCAGATTGCAAGTTCCTTGAGGGCAAGGCCTCTTTCCTTTTTGACTTTGTGTTCCCTAGCACTAACCTCAGTGCCTGGTACATGGTGCCAACAAATCTTTGTTATATTGAACGTGCCCTTTGCCTCCAAGTATAAGGAGCTAGAATAATCAAACAAGAGAAAGGATCTGTTGAGTATATTCCTTAGCTGGTAGTAGTATGACAGGTGGACCACAGTTAATGGATTCTAGTCATGTGTACATGTTGTAGTCCTTCCTCTCCCGGGAGAATGTAAGCTCCTCGAGGGCAGGACCTATTTCATTTTTGTCTGTATCTCCAGCACCAAGCATCAATAGATGCTAGATAGAATATTGTTATTTGCAGAGAGTAGCAGAAAGTGGAGTATGAGCTGCCATTAAATAAAGACCATGCAGGAAGAAGAAAGGGTTTTGATGACTTCTGATGCCTCATCCTTTAATCATCCACTCTCACATTTCTTCTAGTCGTACTGATGCATGTTGCCAGAAGGAGGAATTCTTTCGACTGTATCCAGAGTATTTTTGGAGCAAAGGAAAGTTTAAAGCTTTGTTTGATGTCCAAAGAAGTGGTCATCCTGGTTCTGCTTGGTCAAGTCCAGAGGCAGGGAGCTTACTCACCTACCCATTCCATTTTCAGGTAATTATGTACACCACATGTTTCTTCCTTAGATTTAGCTGAAGTCTGACTCCTGTGACTTTTACTCACTGGTCCTACTTCTGTCCTTTGGAACCACATAAAAAGAAGGCTAATCCCTTTTTAATCTGAGGCCTCCTTCACGTATTCAAAAATCATCATTATAACATTTTCCTCCTAAGTCTTCTCTTCCCCTGGGGTTAAACAGCCCTAATTCATAGGAAGATCATAGATTTTTAAAGCTGGAAGGTGCCTTGTATAGCAACTAGCCCAACCTTGACTGTATTCCCACCCCCCACCATTATAAACAGGTCCATAGAGATGAGGTGACTTGCTGAAGGTTCACTCATAGAAAGCAAATGCCAGAGTGGGATTTGAATCTGCAACCTCTGATTCTAAATTGCTCTGTCAAATGCTTTGGAAGCCCCATTCACTTCCTGAAGGGTGATCCTTTTTAGGTAATGCAGTAAAACAGATCAACATTTTACAGCATTTTAGATTTGGAAGGGAGATATATAGATTGATGATAGATAGATAGATAGATAGATAGATAGATAGATGGATGGATGGGTGGATGGATAGGTAAATAGATAGATGGATAGATGGATGGCTAGCTATATGTATGGACAGACAGACAGACAGACAGACAGACAGACAGACAGAATAGATAGATAGATAGATAGATAGATAGATAGATAGATAGATAGAGATGGATGGGTGGATGGATAGGTAAATAGATAGATGGATAGATGGATGGCTAGCTATATGTATGGATAGACAGACAGACAGATAGATAGATAGATAGATGATAGATAGATAGATAGATAGATAGATAGATAGATAGATAGATAGATAGATGATATAGATAATGGATAGACAGTCAGGTTAGATAGATAGATAGATAGATAGATAGATAGATAGATAGATAGATAGATAGATAGATGGATAGATAGATAGATGGATGGATGGACAGGTAGATAGATAGTAAGGTATTTATCCAACACTTACTACATGCCAGGTACTGTGCTGGGAATAAGTGCTAAGAATGCAAATATGAACATAAAGAAAGACAATCCTTTAAAAAGCTCATGGTCTAATAGGGGAAGACAGTCCATAAAATGGAGCTGAAAAGCAGGAGCAAGAGAGGGAAAATATTCCGGAATAGCAAGGTAGAAATTTATAGGGGGTCAGGAGCAGAGCTGGGAGAGAAGTAAGCGTGGATGGACTGGACATTTCCTCAAATGGAGATTCCTGGCAGTAAGTCACAAGTCAGGGGAAAGGGCAATAGAGGTAGAAGCATCTCCAACTTGAGAAGCTCTTTGGGGTACAGATGGAAAAGTCTAGAGAGTCAGGAGCAGAGCTGGGAAAGAAATGGGGATGACTGGACTGGCTGCTTCCTGAAATGGAGATTTATCTATTAATTAAAGTTTATCGAGTGCAAATTCTTCATTTTACAAATGGGGAAACAGACCATGACAAATGAAATGATTTGCTCAGGAACACTCTGACAGGACCAGGGTTTTTCTGTTTCCCTACAATAAAGATTACTTTTTCCTAAAAGGCAACAAAGTTGTCCCTGGGACTTAACTGGCGCCTTCCCCCATTAAAAGACTAAGGGACAGTAAGTAGTTTTATAGTGTCTGCAATGTGCCAGACACTAAGTGCTTTTACAAATATTATCTCTTTTGGTTTTCACAAAGTCATTTCACAATGACTTGCCCAGAATCACACAGCTAGTAAGTGTCTGAGGCTGGATTTGAACTCAGGTCTTCCTGACTTCTCTATTTTGCCACTATTACCTTTAACTCCATTAACTCAGCTTCCTAGTCATCTAGGGGTATTAAAAATCCCATCCACATGGAATCAGGACCTCTCTGACTAGCTAGATATCTGAAGACCATTTGGGTCATCATATGCTGCCATATTGATCAGATACATTTCCATATGGAGACAAGGTGGAGAAGCTAAGTGCTAGAGTATCCCTATTGTACATCTTAGCTGTGGTAGGGCAAAATCAACCTCCTTTTGTTACCTGTTCAAAGATTTTCAAGTGTCTCATTTCATTCCAACATCACACCTGAACTAACAGAATTCTGGCTTTCGACCTGCCCCTAATAGTCCCAGTACTTGGCAGAGACAGGATAGAAGCCCAGATTTTCTCATTCTAAGCCAGCCCTCTTTCTATTACACCACACTACCTTCCATTGGTAAACCAGGCCAGAGGCACTGTCACTTAGAGAATTTCTGGAATGAAACCTTGACTCCAGAGTGACTTGACCCTAATGAGGAAGATTACCTTACTGGTGTTAAACTACTACTACTACTACTACTACTACTACTACTACTACTACTACTACTACTGCTGCTAGAAATAATAGCAATAATAATAATTGATGATGACAATGATAGTCTTTGGTTTTGCAAAGCTCTTTACAAACATCTCATAGGTATGGAATATATAGATTGTAAGTATGGAAAGATGTATACATTGTCAGACAGGATCAATGTGTCACTTAGTTTTGCTTATTATAACAGGATTTGAATGGGCAACAGTTACTAGAAAATGACTATAAATGGTTTTTGAAAAATCTATAAAGCATTCTTTTTTAGAAAAATCTATAGAAATCAAGGAATACCAGGGTATTTTGCCAGAATTGAGTGATTTCAGAACTCCCTTTCTAATGCTTTCCTTCCCCATCCTCATAACCCCTCTCTCCTGCTTTATTATTGATGGCCACACCCACCAACATCCATGAAGACAATTGGCTAATGGTCAAAAGGTATGAACAAACAGTTCATATCCTTAAAACCTCAAACGCTATTGAGAATTTGTAGTAGCCAAAAAGTTAGAGGCCTTGAATCCTCATGTCTCAGAAAAGCACAATTCAATTTCCTAAATTAAAAAAAAAGTTATTGATATTTTTATTTTATACGCACTTTTATTTCCTAATGTAACTCACACCCTCCCCTACCCAGAGAACCATCCCTTGTCAAATAGAAAAAGAAAGAGAAAGGAAAGTAACTCATCAAGTGAAACTACCAACCTTACAGAATATACAATGTTCTTTTGCACTCCATTTCTGAAAAGAAGAGAAGGAAGGAGGTGAATTTTTACATCTCTTTTTTGGGGAGTGAACCTTGGTGGCTATTATCATTTCGCAATATTTTGAACTTTTCATTTTGGTTTGATTCTTTTCTTTGCAATGTTAATGGTCACTGTGTATTTTTTATTTTTCTGGTTCTGCTCCTTGCACACAGTGACCTCATCATCTTTTGCTTTTGTAGCACCCAGCTGGGTACCTGACACAGGGCAGATGAAAAAATAAGTGCTTGTTAATTGATTGATTACTTCACTCTGCATCAGTTCATATAAATATTCCCAGACTTCTCTAAATTCTTCATTTTATCACTTTATAACACAATACTATTCTATTTCATTCATCTACTACAGTCTATTTAGCTATTCCCCAATAGATGAGCAAGACAGTTTCTAGTTATTTATGATTATAGAAAGTGCCACAATGAATAATTGGCGCATGGAAACCTTTCTGCTTTTGACCTCCTTAGAGTATATACCTGGCAGATGGACTTCTGGGTCAAAGGATATGGACATACATTATAATTCCATATTTATTTCCAGAATTATTGGACCAATGCACGGTTCTACCAACAGTGTATCAGTGTGCCTGTCTTTCCAGAGTCCTTCCAACACTGACCACTCCCATCTCTTTTATCATCTTGGCTGAATGGCTGAGTTTGAAGTGAAACTTCAGAGTTGTTTTAATTTGTGTGTCTCTTATTGTTAGCGATTTGGAACAGTCTTACACAAGACTATTCAATGTCCGAAGGTCTTTTGAGAACTGTTTCTTCTTATCTTAACCGTTGATCAATTTCCTTTTAACCTACCCCTCTCCAGATTTGACTCATTTTATTTTTCTGAAAAGTAGAACAAAACCAGGGGTAAATGATCATGTTACTTATTGACTCCAGCTTGAAATACAGTAAGGAACCCCTTCATTCTGGGAAATCAAGTCCCGGAACTCATGTCCCAAATTTCCTCTTGTTGGTTGTATTTGAAGGGAGCAGAACCATCACTCTGGGTTTTCCCCTTTGCTGACCTTTTACAAAGAGTCTAAGGAAAAATGATTTCCCCCTCCTCCCCTCCTACTCATAACTCAGAAATAAATCTGGAGGAAGTGTGGTTTCTACAGATCAAATTCTGACTCCGGGCCAAGGATTTATGAGGAGCAGACGCCTATAGGCAGACAGCTTCACACAAGACAACCTTCTATTTACCCTCCTTCCCCGGACTTTATGTGTTCAGCTGCTGGTTGATTTAAAAGGAGCAGGGAACGTTCGAAAGCCTGAGATGGGCTTCATGTGTGGAATCCTCGCTTTCTTAGGATTAGTATCCCGAGGTGGGTGCGGCTCAGCTGGGATGAATGTGTGCATGAGTGTTCCTGTTGGCTGGCTGCCTGATGGTGGTAGTGGAAATTGCGGCTGGGGGACTTTCCCCACTAGGGACAGTTGGTGCGTGTGTGCATTTTTCCTAGTAAGAACAGCTGGTAGTTCCCAACAGGGTTGTGTTTGCTTTTCAGTCTTGTGGTAGAGAGGGCTTCTGCTGGGAGTTACTCATTAAGTATTTAAGAATGCCATCTTGCTGCCCATTCACAGGAGAATGAGACTTTCACCCATTTTTCTTGCCTCAAAATGAAAGTTGGTTCTCAGAAATAAAATTGCTTTCTTTGAAAAGGGTAAAAAAAAAAGAAATAAAAAAATGTAGGACTTACTTTGTGTAGCACTGTGAAGGGTGCAAAGACCAACATGAAAGAGTTTCTACCCTCAAGGAGCTTACATTCTTTTAGTCTTCTTATTATGAGTACTGGAATCTTTCGTTCCTTATATTCAATAATAAAAATATCTGATAGAGAATGCTTTCACATTTGCAAAGAGCATTCTATCCATGAAAGTGTTAAATGGGTATATTTTTTGATTCTTCATTTTGGGTGGATCATAGGATCATAGATAAATAGAGGTATGTTGGAACTGGCTCTGGAAATCAGTAAAACAAACCTGCAAATCAGAATTGATTTAATTCTTATTAATTACTTACACTTAAAGTGATGGAGGAATGTTAATATTGAAGATTAAACTTAAAAATATGTCATGCATACATACATTTTATATACATACACATGTACATACATACATACATACATACATTTTATTTCTGGAGAGTCATTGTTAAATATTTACCAGGACACCTCTGATTGTAAAGGTCATCTGGTCCAATTTTCTCATTTTATAGATGAAGCAACTGAGGAAGTCAGAGGACTGCCCAAGGTCACATTGGTAGTAAGTGGCAGAGCTGATTGGAATCCAGATAAATCATTCAGTCAAACATTAATTGTTTCCTATGTGCCAAGCACAGTGTTAGGCACTACAAAGACCAAAATGAAAGAGTCCTTGCCCTCAGGGATCTTACATTTTCCTGGTCTTTGACCACCAATCCAACATACTTTCCATTGTACCACATTGATCAATAATAATATCTGTCATATATAGAGTATTTTAAAGTGTGCAAAGTCTTTATTATTATTCTACATATTATTATATTATTCTAACATACATTATTCTAACAACCCTGTGAGTTAAGTACTAGAGGCAATTTTATCTGCATTTTACAGAAGAGGAAACTGAGGCTGGGAATGTGAAATCAGAGCTATAAGCCATAATTTTTGCTTCCAAGACAAGAAACTATGACCTCAGTTTCAAAGGATGATTGGGAAACAGTGACATGAATGTGTGTGTGTGGGGTGGGATCAGAGCAGAGTGAGGAGGTATTGGCACTCACCCCAGCCTACCATCTTGTAAATTCTTAATTTAACTAATTATTCTTCCTCCTAAGGTGCTGGGTCTATTTTGTTTTTAATGCTGGATAATTGCTATAGATATTGCCAACATGCTCTAAGTTTGGTCCCCTGAAATATGCCCTGTTCACCTCAGCCTAGTTCCAGCTCAGAGGAGAAAGTGACTTATCAAAAGTCAGAAAATTAGCAATTATGAGAGATGTAGGATGTGAACCCAGGTCTTCTTGACCCTCGAGCCCAGCACTGTATCTGACACCTCACTTTGAGGATCTATTGTTTAAGATGATGGTAGGTCTGGCTACAGATGGGATAGTGACGTGTAGAGTTAAATGTGTTCCTAGAGTTTTTTCTAGTCCAACAGCCCCACTTTAGAGGTGTGGAAATGGTGGCTGAGAAAGTTTGGGGAAGTTTCCCAGGGTCTCACAGTCAGGAAGTAGCAGAGCTGGAAGCCCTGACTATCAATCCTGGGCTTGTGCATCCCATCCACCCTCCCACGCTACCACATCTTAAAAAAAAAAAAGAATCTTGAAACATTTTTGGATCACCAAAGAAAGACCTCTACAATAACAAAGGTTATATTGACCTTACAGGTGATGAGAGTTGGATAAAGCGATTGGACTGACTCTGTGAACAACTAACTATAGAACTTTACACACATCACTGAACCCATTAGAAACTCAATTATCCCATCTGTAAATTGGAAATCAATCAATAGACAAGTATATACTAAGTACCTCTGTTCCAGACACTGTGCTAATTAATGTCTGATCCATCTGTCTCATTGGATTGTTTCAGAGTTCAAGAGAGATATAATGAATGAAAGCTCTTTGAAGAAACTAATACTAGGTATTATTATTATTATTTGGATTTCATGATATAGTTAGGTGGAGGAAAAACATTGCACGTCTTTACTTACCTAGTAGGTACTTAAATACATAGCATAGTGCTTGGTGCATAGTATTTAATAAATGCTAGTTATTATTATCATCATCGCCATCATCATCATTATTATTTGTAAATAGGGCAGCTAGATGGTACCGTGGATGGAGTACTGGGCCCGGGGTCAGAAAGACTCATCTTCCTGAATTCAAATCCAGCCTCCCAGACACTTACTAGCTATATGACCCTGGGTAAGTCACTTAACCCTGTTTGCCTCAGTTTCTCATCTTTAAAATATACTACATAAGGAAATGGCAAACTGTTCCAGAATCTTTGCCAAGAATACCCCAAATGGGGTCACAAAGAGTTGGACATGGCTGAAATGACTGAACAAGAACATCCTTTCTCCTTCTGCATTTGCTACCATACATAGTGGCAGGGAAGACCAAGACATAAACTTAGAACAAGACAACAATGGGAAAATAGCTATAAGCACAGCTTCAAAGAAAAATGCTCATTAGACCCAAGGCTGGCAAGAATTCCTGGAATAGTTAAAGGAGATAAGAGTGGTAAAGGAAAAATTAGGAAATTAGAGTGATTTAAGAAAATTATGAAAAAAGAATTAATAGCTTGGTGAAAGAGGCACAAAAAATACTGAAGAAAATAACACCTTAAAAAAACAGAATTAGCTTAATGGTAAAGAAGGCACAAAAATTCACTGAAGAAAGGAATACCTCTAAAAGCAGTTATAGGCCAAATGGAATAAGAAGTATGAAAAGCTCATTGAAGAAAATAATTTTTAAAAATTAGAATTGGGCAAGTAGAAACTAATGACTTCATAAGTCTTGAAGAAACAATAAAACAAAGTCAAAAAAGTTTTTTATACTTTTTCATTCTTATATTTTATTCTAATAGTTCATACATAGTGTCTTAAAAGTCTTAGTATAGGGGCAGCTAGGTGGCACAGTGGATAGAGTACTGGTTCTGGATTCAGGAGGACCTGAATTCGAATCCGACCTCAGACACATGCCACTTATTAGTTGTATGACCCCAACTGCCTCACCAAAAAAAAGCAAAAGAAAAAAAGTTTTAGTGCAGTTTTAAAGCTTTAAGAGTTTAGGACTTTTGGGACACCCTGTATATTGTGTATGTGTTTATATATATATGTGTGTGTGTGTGTGTGTGTGTGTGTGTGTGTGTGTGTATGTGTGTGTATGTATATACATAAATATATATTGTATATATAACATGTATGAATATATATTGTGTAAACAGATAACTACCAATGAAAACTAGGATGTGCTAAAGGGACTTCAGAGGACAGTAAGATA